CATGTACTCAATCGGTCTCAACTTTTTCCCATCCTGCTGAGCCAGCACTGCGCCAATGTCATATTGGCTTGCGTCAGTGGTCACTATGAATGGCTTTTGCGGATCGGGAACCATGAGAACTTCATGATTCATGAGTGCATGCTTCAATCTCTTGAAAGCACTCTCGCACTCATCACTCCAGTCCCACGGGGTGTCAAGTCGAGTTAGATCAGTCAAAGGAGAGGCGATTGTAGAATAGTTCTTGACGAAGTTCCTATAGTAGCCGCACATTCCTAAGAATGATCTGACCTCAGTGACTGTCTGAGGTCGTGGCCAGTCTCGAATACTAGCCACCTTCGCATCTTCCGACCTAATTCCCTCCGCGGATACTTCATGACCCAGGTATAGTATCTTAGTACGACCAAACTCGCACTTCTCTAAGTTGACCTTATACTTGTGCTGTCGCAGGAGTGGGAGAACTGTCTCAACATGCTGTGCGTGCTCCTCGGCAGACTTACTAAAGATCAGAATGTCGTCTAAGTAGACCACGAGAAACTTATCTAAATGTTCATGGAAGATCCGATTCATAGTGTGCTGGAACGTACCCGGCGCATTACAAAGATCGAAAGGCATCACTCCAAACTCATACAGACCATATCTAGTCTGAAAAGTTGTCTTGTGTTGGTCCTCAGGTCTTATTGCGATCTGGTGATATCCGGATTTCAAGTCTATCTTTGTATAATACTTGCATCCCTGCACCCTATCCAATAGGTCGTCTATGCGAGGTAGAGGCTCTACGTTTTTCACAGTGATGGCATTGAGGCCCCTATAATCAACGCACATCCTCAAAGTACCCCCCTTCTTCGGTACGAATAGCACAGGTGATCCGTAAGGGGAAGTACTAGGCCGAATCCAACCCTTCTCTGTCAGCTCCTTGAGTTGCTTTCGAAGTTCATCTAACTTGGCAGGGGCCATCCTATAGATCCTTCCCTTTAGGGTCTTACTCCTTGGAATGATTTCTATAGCGTGGACGACTTCCCCATCAACAACTCCTGTAGGCTCCTCGAACAGATCGGGGAACTTAGCAACGACGCGTTCTATTTCTGGGGGTGTTTTAACGGCCTCCCTCTTCTCAGAGACGTAAACGAGGTACATACCTTCCTCTTGGTTTTGCTTGTAGTAGTTATAGAACGCTGATGCACACAAGCAGCCATAGGTATCTACAACACTGCTGGCCTTGAACTTAGTCATTCTGACAGTTCGGCCATCGGGCAACTTATGCTTAAGCACCTTCTTATCCCAGTCGAACTGGGGCTTAGCAACTTCGAGGTAGTACATGCCTAACAACATTTCGAATGGCAGGTCGTCGCTAACCAAGAACGAGATCTTATGGTTTAGCTCTCCTCCTCCATAGGAGAAGGTACAGACTACGTCCTTGATGTAGTCTGTGACAATCATGCGCTCTTTGTTGGCCAAAGTAGATGCTACTGGTCTACTAAGGTGCCGTACCCGGTCCT